CAAGCAACGACTAAATGTTGTTTCTCTTTCTGCACTTGGATATGGTCCCAGGAATTCAACTCCGCGAGGGTTCGCCTACGTTTGACACAACGATAAAACTAGGTGGCTTTTGCAACGACGACAGCGATGGCAAAGAGAACAACGTCAAAAAGGAAAAAGGTTTAAAAGGTTATTAAACTGCAATAAATTTTGCATGTTTTGCACGCTTTTTGGTACATTTCTTTGCCGTCCCTACACAACCGCGACGTGTAGAGGACGTGAAAATATACACACGATGATGATTTTTTTTTCTCAGTTCAAGCTTGGGTGCAACTCCAGTGAAATTACTCCTATATTTACCGTTTTGAGCTAGTTGGAATAAATGCGGAAAAGTTTAACAGTGTCGTATTTGCTACTCTCACCATGGTTATTTTTAATGCATCTTAAATTCCTAATGAACGTGTATCACTTCCGTTTTAGTTTTACTGAAACTCTTATGATCGAAGGAGGAAAATTATGATTCGATTCGCTGGAAGAGTTGTTTATTCTACAAAACATTGCGGATTTAAAAGTAATTAAATACAAAGTATTCATTTTCAATTTCGGATTCAAAATCTCCAGAGACTTGACTAAACCGGATGGTTTTTTTTATTTTTTGGATTCACTCATCTACGTTTGTAAACGTAGCCTTACAGTGTAAGTTATGAACCCGATTGACGTGCTCTAATCAGTCAATGAACTAAAAACGGCGGCAAAGAATTTTACAAGTTAGTTGTGTCATTTCACATACCGTAAAAACGCTTAGGCTTACCGATAACCTCACCTTTGGGAACATTAGAGTGGGGTGGGCGGAGGGGTTCGGCCGCATTTGGTGAATTGTGCGTACCCCTGAAAAAATGCTTGCTACGCCCCTGAATAAGTAATATTAAAGTAATAAGATACCATTACAAGTTCAGTTTCATCCTCGGCTGGTAAGTTTGAATGAAGCAACTTTCTCTCGACAGGGTGTCTTGATCATTCCTCAGTTGCTTCGTGTCTTTCATCATTAGAAGAATTAGGTGTACAGCTAGTGTATGAAGTTTTTTACTTACGTTCGGATTTAACAAATTAAAGGAAAACTTGCGGAGCTACTGCTCGAGGCACGTCTGACCACCTCGAGCGCTATACCCAGTGAAGTCGTTTCGATACGACTAGACCCTCAAGCACTTAAATTACACAAAAATTTTGATCACTTCAAGAATAGTTTGCTCGTGAACAAGAAAACATATTGTTCTCAATACACAAAATATGCCAGGAAGAAAAACATTGTTTACTACAAATTTTTTTGCTACGGATGCTAAGTTAAGGTATCACAACAATAGTTACTTGGTGTTTAAAGGTTTTAATTAATTGTATCTACCAAATAGCCGTCCGCCACTGTTAAATTCTAAAGTAGGTTGAGTTTGTTGTTGTTGACAATGACTGACGTTTCTACAACCCGTGCGGTAGCCATCTTCAGAGTTCAAATCATCTTCAAATTCTGATTTGGACGATCAGAGATAACAGTTATAAAATGGGTTGCTGTTATTGATAATTCTTGTCATCTGAAAAGTAAACGGCAGATAAACCAAAAGGAAAAGTTATAAAGCTTTGCGTGTCGTGTTCTGATGAATGCATTCACACTCTCTCGACCCGGCCCCTAAACATCCCTGATGAAACAAATTTTTAAAAATATGTACTCTCCATTTCAAAAGGGTCAGCATTAGATCCCATCGGCCGTAGCCCGTTTCTCCTCTTATGAAATTTACATGAGGTTTAAAATTCTGCTTTTATATCACATTTATATGATATTTCAAGTTTGAAATGTTCATGAAAGTGCAAGTCTCCTCAATTAAAAGAAACAAAAAGTTCGGTATGAAGGGCAGTGGGATTCGAACCCACGACTCAATAGACCCAGTACACCACTCTTACCACTGCCGATTTGCTGGATGGTAAGGAAATAATTTAACTACATATAGCATCAACCCTAACCCCCAAAAAGACCCTAACCAGTTTCGAAACAGTGCTTAACCCTAATCTGTAAAAGGCAGTTCTTAACCCCAGTTAGTAAGACGGAAAACTATGTTGTGTAAATTACACAAGGTGTCCGAGGGGGCTACCGTCGATGGGATCCACTGATAACCTTCAAGAGGACTGCATGCTGTTTCACGGGGACCTTACCAAATTACGACGGCAATGGGAATCATTAGTGTCAAAGAAGGCAATAGGCAAAACACCCACTCTTTACATGCAGCATGCATTTTTCATTTTTCTTCTTTGGTTTGTTGAGGCATCATCACAGTGATATTTTGTGTGAAAAACGCAGAGAATTTGGTCGAAGAAACACACAGACACTGCACACGTGTTACCTGTGCAAAGCGTTTACACCAAACACGGAGCCATACAAATTCTGTTTACAGGACTCCGTACAACAATTTGCCCGCGTCAGCATTGGAATGGCTACGCATCTAGCTTTAACCACGCCAACAGCCACATTAGGAGA